ATCTATCATTTCTATATAATCTTCACTTAAATGTGCAAGATCTGACTTTTTTTTTATAGTTAGCTTAGGATTTAGAGTTAGTTTTGATAATAAAAATGCATAAGTGGATTTTGGTAGGGTTTATATTTTCAAATCGAGGTCCCTAATTTCCAGCTTCAGCCGCGACAATTTATATTACAATCATATTAAACAAATTGGTTAAATCTACATTTTCGACGCTTCAAATCTTCCTCCATTAATTCTTTTAATAAAGTGCTCTCCTTTTCTAAAAGTATAAATTGTCATATTGATATGCAAATTTTTTTATTTACATTTCCTTAACAATTGTCGTTTCCCGTGTGACTCTTAAATTTTTCGTGATGCATTTTTTTTTATTATTTTTTTTTTAAGATTTAGAGTTGTTATAAATCTGATACCAAATTCAATGTCATTTGACGATAGTTATGCAATGCATTCCCCCCATGATGTTTAAAAATTAAGATATTCTTAAGTATTCTCTGCAAGAATAATGGTTTGCTGCTTGTGAACATTCATAAATCTGTAACTGTATTTAATGGTAAGTTACAGGTTTTCACTCACGCACTCCATTAATTAAAATTGATTGATGCTAGGGATCGTTAATACACCCTTTAACGTTAATGGAGTCTACCGGTTATATCCTGAGATCTGATATTTTTACATCTGAAAAACCATATAAAATCTTTGACAATTTCTTTGGAAATTCACTGTCCTTTCGTTAAAATAAAACGAAAGTATTGATAAATTCATTACTAAGGAAAAAATTTTTTTTTATTCATTAAAAATGTCATCTCAAGAAAGTGGCTGTAATTGCGGTGATTCTTGTAAGTGTGGTGTAACTTGCAATTGCGGAAGTTCTCAAACGAAAACGACCGATACTGCACCAAAACGAGCCTTTGTTATTAGACAAAGCAATGGCAATGCGTATGTACCTTGGTGTGAGAAATAAAGATGAAGAAGAATGATTGCCATCCTGACACTTAGACTTTGTTCAATGTAGATCATACCCAGGTCAAAGAAATTATTCACGCAGCGTGAACAACGTGGATATGGGAAATGATGTTTTATATAAATGATATGTATGTTATTTATTTTGCAGTCATTCTTTCACCTATTATCCAATGATTATTCATCATTTAATAATTGATCTATAAGTTATAAAATCTTCCTCTTTTTAACAGATGCACGTATGTACGAACATATTACTTGTTTTAAGCGATTAAATGTCACCAATAGTTGCTCTACCTTATTATTTATATGTAAATTCTGAGATATATTTGATTCCAAATTTCTATGTTCTTGTGAATAAGTATATTTTTATCAAGGATCTTTTTATTTTTCAATTTATTCTAAAAATTGTCTGTATGAGGAATCAAAATAAATATAAAGAATTTATACAATATAAAAATGTCTATGATTAAATAATGTAAGAAGCATAGCAACTAAATTTGAATATCAGAAAATATAAAATAATCTTAATCCTATTCTAACGGGGAGTAATAAGTAATTGTGTATCTTTCACGTACCAGTAAACTAAATCTACAGTAGACTCAATAAAGTATCTTATAACTATGTAGTGAATCAAAAATTGGTTTATAGACCAATAAAATCATGTTAATAAAACTAATAATATCAATTTAACTGAATACTGCCAATAATCAAATTTAAGGTTTAAAAGTTTCTACACTTCAATTTTTGTTTAATATTAAAAAGGGGAGCGGTCAACAAAAACACGGCTTATGGCATTTTTTGCAAAAATGAGTTAACTACACTATCGCATAAAGCACATTTAAAGTATCGATTTGCATAATAAAATTTTTGTCGATACTTACTTTTTTAGGGGACGTCTAAAGCCGTGTCCAGTCACGTGTTTTTTATTTTTTAATTTAAAGTTAGGGTAAGGTTAGTTAAGGTAAGGGGGCTTTACTTATTTGTGCCAGTAATACAAACTCCTAAAAAGGAAATAGCCAATAAACAACATTGAAGATCCTATTA